TATTACCCCATAACAATTCCACATATCCATCTACATCTCACATGAACAAATACAGGTTTAATTCAATTAATTTTAAAACAAAATTTTATTAAAAAAAAAAAAAAAACAGATCTGATTAAAATGGGGGTTTGGTTTTTACCTGTGAGACTGAGTGCAATGTGCACCACAAGATTGCGCTACGGAACTTGCAAGAGATATGACATCAAGAAGATGGGTGGTGGGGTGCTTGGGTTCTCTAAGTTCGGGATGTCGTCGAGGACTCGAGGTTGAGGGACAATCGAGGTTGCTAGGTTGTCGTGATGTCGGGGTGGTGGAGGAGATGATACCAGGGTGGTGGAGGTGACGACAAGGCAAGATGGCGAGAGAGAATCGAGTCGAATTGAGTGACAGAGTCGATGAGCTCGAGGAGAGATACTTGGGTAAATATCTTTTAGAGCAACTCCAGCGTTGGAGCCCTCCCCCTGGCAATACACTATTCAATCCACCTAATGAACAGTAAGTAGCCCTGGCAATAGAATTTGCATCTCCACCGTTACACATCAATAGCCCTGGCAATAGGCAATAAAATATTAGTATTTTTTTTATTTATAAAATAATACAAAATAATTTTAATTGTAATATCGGATAAAATTTTTAATCGTTCTCGTTGCGCCACGTGTCATTATCCGAAGTATTATTAAATAATACAAAATAATAAAATTATTGGTGATGGATTTCTGATAAGATTATTAACCAATCACGTCGCGCCACGTGTCATAATCGGTTTACAATCTTTGAGGATAGATTTCCATCAGATTTGTAACGAATGACGGCATGCCACGTGGCATTATGCAGAACCTAATCCTTTCTGAATCCTCTATATAATCCACCATCCATCCTCACAAATCTCACACCAAAATTCTCAAGATCTCTATCATTATTCATAGTTTCTGCTTCTTTATTCACAAAAATCTGTATCATTATTCATAGTTTCTGTTTCTTTCTTTCAATGTCTTCTTCTTCTTCCTCAAGGATGATGTGGGAATACAATCAGGAAGAGGAAGAATTGTTTAACGAATCTGAAGCAATCTTCAATCACCAGGGGGTAAGAAATGAGAGGGAAGAGGATGAGGAGCGTCAAATGAGAAATGACGAAGTAAGAAGGGGCAGAGCCTCACATTCCCGTCGAGTCATCCAAGCTGCGGCTCAAATCTGCAGGCCCAGCCGTTCCGGAAACCTTGATAGAAGCAGGCAACGACGAGGTATGGAACTCTTGGATGATTATTTTGTTCCTAATAGTGCATTCCCTGATACGTACTTTAGACGTCGTTTTAGAATGGAACGACATTTGTTCAACAAAATCATGATTGCTGTTTGCAACCATGATTCTTATTTTGTGCAAAAAAAAAGATGCTTTTGGTGCTATGGGTTTACTGCCTGAGCAAAAAATTTAGGACAATCTTTGACAATATTCCAACATTCCCACCGGTTGAATGATTTATTTTTGCTTTTGGTTTTGGCAGCGTACCAAGCTTGTGCTTGAAGTTCCTACACAATAAAAATACGTAACAAATAAATAATTATAATGAAAATAAGTAACTAGCAAATATATACATATATATATATAAGTAACAAATATAATGAAAATAAGTAAGAAGGCTTCAAGTTTAGTAAATAATGAAAATAAGTAACAAATAAATAATTATAATGAAAATAAGTAACTAGCAAATATATACATATATATATATATATATATATATATATATAAGTAACAAATATAATGAAAATAAGTAAGAAGGCTTCAAGTTTAGTAAATATTGAAAATAAGTAACAAATAAATAATTATAATGAAAATAAGTAACTAGCAAATATATACATATATATATATAAGTAACAAATATAATGAAAATAAGTAAGAAGGCTTCAAGTTTAGTAAATAATGAAAATAAGTAACAAATAAATAATTATAATGAAAATAAGTAACTAGCAAATATATACATATATATATAAGTAACAAATATAATGAAAATAAGTAAGAAGGCTTCAAGTTTAGTAAATATTGAAAATAAGTAACAAATAAATAATTATAATGAAAATAAGTAACTAGCAAATATATACATATATATATATAAGTAACAAATATAATGAAAATAAGTAAGAAGGCTTCAAGTTTAGTAAATAATGAAAATAAGTAACAAATAAATAATTATAATGAAAATAAGTAACTAGCAAATATATACATATATATATATAAGTAACAAATATAATGAAAATAAGTAAGAAGGCTTCAAGTTTAGTAAATAATACAAACAAATAATTATAATGTAAGTATGTAACAAATAAATAATACAAACAAATAATTATAATGTAAATTTGGGTATCAAATAAATAATATATTGTTACCTGATCCGAGTAATTTTCCCTACTTCGAATATTACTACTAGCTTGTGTCAAAGCGTCTCTCCACGTACTAAACGATTGGCTAAGTAATTTCCAACGACTGGACATCGATTCTTTAGTTCTTTTCCCATCAATTTTCTCAAGAAAATTGGTATGAATAAGACTCCACATTTCTCGCAACTGCATCTCATTACCCGTAAGCGAACTATGAGTAACTTCAACCCAGCTAGTACACAACGCAACATCTTCAATAAGCGACCAATTCGTACCTGCACCAGTGGTCATTTTGTTGAAAAAAAATGGATTCAAACTTTGAGACAAAGAAAGGAATGTGATTGAAAGTAGTTGAGAAAATATGAAATTGTTGTGTAAGGTAGATGATAATGAGAAGGTATTTATAGAAAAGTAAAAACAATTTTTTTTACAATTTTTTTCAGAATTTTCAGATATTTTTTTGAATTTTTTTGAATTTTTTACAATTGTTTTTTAATTTTTATTCAATTAATTAATCTCTGCCGTTGGATATAAAAAAATTTGAATTCCAACGCTCCAAATTGTGCCACGTGTCACAACGGTAACTTTTCAAATTTTTAAAACTATTTTTTCATTTATTTTTTAATTTATAAAGCATTTTAATATCCACCGTTGATCTCAGATCGAACGGTGGATATTAAATCTGATTTTTTTTTTTTTTTTACCGTTGAGATCTAACGGTCCACATTAAGTGATCGTTAGGATCTAACGCACCGTGGGAAGCCACGTGGCTTCCCAACGGTAACTGACACTTGCTTTTTTAAATTTTTTTTGTGTCAGCAACGCGCCCCCACGCGCGGATGGGGTGCACGCGCCTGACACAAAAAAAATTAAATAATGCGCTGACGCCACCCTGGCGTCGGCCTTGCGTCAGCCCCACCTCGGGCTCAAGGCCTGGCAATCCCTCACGGGCCTGGCCCTCGGGGCCTCCCCCTGCCTTCGGCCTCCCCCATGCTGGAACGACGCCACCTGCCCTCGGGCCTTCGTTTTGGACCCCTTCCCCCGAGCAAAACCCCACGCTGGGGATGCTCTTAGGGTTCGATAACTTTGTATTTTATATGGATGTGAAAATATATGTGGAATCTATTAATTGAATATAAAACTAATTTTGACCAAAAAAAAAAAAAAAAACAGGAGAGCAAAACTGAATCCTTAAGTTAAAAAACAAAACAATACGACTTTGGTGTCAAAATTTTTACAGTTGACACCAATGAATGGTGTTGAATATGTTTAAGACACCAAATTCAAACAACAGTGACACATACGTTTATAAAGCCACTGATAAAGAATAGTGCCCTCAAGTCGGTGTTCTATAGCATATTTTCTAGTAGTGATAGATTTTGTTAGATCAGATATTAAATTAACAACGGATGGGGTTCAAAACCTTAAAATAAATAAGTGTATTAAAGACATAATGAAACCACCAAGTAAATGTAAACCATAAATATGCGAGTGATTCTTCAGTTTTGGTTTCAAGATGATTTTATGCAAATCATTTACCTTTACATTCACATTCGGATATGTCCTTTACTTGTGAAGTTATTGAGGATACGTCTACCTCATCACGAAGAGGCCAGAAAGATGAGTAGTTAACAAAATTGAGATCTCTGCGAAGCACAACCCAAGTGTTACACGATTGAGACCTTTATCGTCTACTTCATAATTCCATATTCTCACCATTGAGTGAATTTATTTAGAAAATGTTACAGATACTACATTTGTTACACTATTTTGTATCACCTCACTAATAAAAGTGGAATTTACTTATATTTGTGAACCATATCTTTATTAAAGAAGTGGTACCATATGGTCTACCATCTCCATCGTACCATATTGTCAAAAGGTGGTTTATTTTTTAACACTTGATATTGTCTAGCCGCACAAAATCCTTGTGGAGTGTAGATTAAGGTATCGAATCAAGCGCTGTTCCACCAACAAGTCCTTCATTTTCAGAGAGAGAATTTAGCGAGTCAAATCCAATATTTTAAAAAAGAATAAGAAGCAACAATCTGGGCACGTAACTAAACTTATCAAATAAAGGAGATGAAAACAAGAGAGATTTCGAAAAGGAAAAGCCCTTAACCTTTTATTGGATAGTACTTGCATCCTCCAATGTGGGGATGCACGTATGTCCTTATTACAAAATAATGTATCTTGATCGAATAAATTCAACAATTGAAACCGTTCAATTGATTAATTTTCATCTGAAGATCACTCTTGGAAAAAATTGTTCAAATTGAGGACCGTTTAATCATCCAAATGTATCAAATAAATAGACAGTTTATCATAAATATGTTATTTGGTATCTACCGTGTTAATTTGATTTAAATATTTGAATAACTAAATGATCTCAATTGAAATGATTTTTTGTAAGATAATTTATGAAGATTGAAAAATTAAATAGTTTCAATTATGAAATTTGTACTATGAGAGGCATCATTATTCACAAGGGGAATGAACTCATTCTAAAGGGGAATGCAAGTATTATGTTTTTTATTTAATATAAAGATTGACACTGGGTTTCTCTCTCTTTCTCTCTAACAAAGCCTAGCAGAATCAACAAACTTGAAACCCTTCCGCCGTCGGCCTCCAACTTCCGCTTGGGCCCGTTGGCAGCCCCCCTTTTCAATTTTCATTTTTATCTTCCTCCCTCTTTCTTCCTCGCACTGCGATGGTCTCGGCTCCCGATGTGGTTGGAGATCTATCTCCAGATGTTTTGTCCCTCCCCGCAACTGCGATCGCCCCGATCCCCTTCATGGATCAGTGGAGCAACTTGCCACCTACTAGTGGTGTGGACGAAACTTTGTTTCCGGGTTTTGTGCCCATGTTTCAAGGTCTTACTCCTTTGATTTGGGGTTTTTAGGACCAGATTTGGGGTTCTTGGGGCTGATTTGGGGACTCTGCGCTCAATCTCCTCCAATATTTCGAATCTGCTTCCGGTCAGAGACAACTATATGTTGTCACCCCTTCAAAGGTCTGGTATCTCTTTAGAATGGTGTTTGCACCACCTGACCTTTTTGGTTACAGCTTGGTTCTAGGCATTCGTTTGCGTTTGTTTTCGTCTAAGGACCGGATTTGTGGCGTCCAGGATGGGTTTGGTTCTTCTTGATTTGCATGTTGGGCTTCTTTTCACCAACTTTGAAGCATTGAATGATTTTTGTATTGCTCTATATGATGGTATCTCTCTGTTTTTCTGTTCGCCGGTCGTCTTCATCCTGTTTGCGGCGGTTGAAGCGGTGGGTGATCTGTTGACGAGGGGTCACTTCTGCAGCGGTTTTAGGGTTATGGTTACCAGATTTTTCAGAGGGGTCACTTTTGGGCCTCTTCAGGTGGGCTCTAGCTTTTGGGCCGAGCCACATCTTTTGTGATTTTCTTTTATGCCTTAGGTACCGTATAATTGAGAACCTATACTCGATGATTGTATTCGATGATTGTATATGTGACGTCTCATTTGTATCTATCTCATTTATCAGGCTGTGGTTTTTGTACTATGTCCGTTTGGACTTTGTTATAAAATTCCTCCTTTTAACCCAAAAAAAAAAAAAAAAAAAAGGGACTAGAGAGATTGGCTTTCACCCGAAAGGCCATGAGAGAAGACTGGAGAATAAAATCTAGAAAACTGTCTCAACCCCCATGAACGTTAGCTGAACACGATTGATGAGAAAACTTAACCAAACGAAACTGCAAGGACGGAAATACCAAACCGTAACGGAAACCAAGAACCAATACCCAAAAGCTGGAAAACCAGGAAAGACGATGCAGCAGCAGCAAGAAATACAATATTTGTTTTAGGGTTTTAATCTGAATTTTTTGTGGTGAGAAGGAAAAATTACAAGGAATATATGGTGGAAGTATTGTTCAGGATGAAGAGAGAGGTGATTGAAGATGTTGCAATAATAGCGGGGTTGGTAGGGGTGCAATTTGTGTATGCTGGGAATGCTGTGTTGCTAAGCTATGTAATGTCTTTGGGGCTTGATCCTCACACCATTGTTATCTTCTCTACCTTGGCCACTTTCATCATCCTATCTCCCATTGCTGCTTATTTTGAAAGGTACGTAAATACGCAATTCTCTTCAGCTAGGATATTAATAATTAGAGTAATTATATTAATTAATTTCTCGTCTTTTTTAGATTACAAATAGTTTGGTTTTAGTAGATTTCGATGTATGATGATACATTTGTGTTTCAGGCACACATGGCCGAAGAAAATCAGCTTGAAGTTCATGATACAGTTGGTTTTGATCGCCTTTGGAGGGTACGAAATTTCTAAAATCTTTTTGTTTCTAGTTAGTTATAATTTGCATAATTCCCTTGAATTTTATCTAGAAACCACTTTAAGATATTCACTTTTTTTATTCTGTGCTACCTTTTTTCTCTCCTGATAATGTGGAAAGTGAAGGATCACTCGTTCTAAATTTAGGATATGCAATCTAATTAGTGTTCTTCAATTTCACCAAACTCTCAATGGATTTTTTTAGGTTTTTCTTCTATATTTCATTTGAGTGATTTCTAAAACCTGTGCTGGAAATTGCTGGCCAGAAGACCTTGAATACATGTTTTGAATTCCCCCCAGTCATAATTTATGAACTTTCAAAGCTAATGTATTTCTTTTCAGAGAACAAAAAAAAAAAAAATGTGTAATGTATTTTCCTGGTAAAAAATGAGGACAAACATAACTGAGAGTTTTGATGATTTCATATGTTTATCTTTTTTACATGGAAATATGTTTATGTTGATCTCTTTCATTTTTCGTTTGAAATTTCAACAGAACTAATTATATGTTGTGCAAGTGAGCATTTTTCATTTTTATTCTCACCACTCTAAGACTCCTAGACAACTTGGGGCAAGAATTTCGTTAGCTACAACTTGTTCTCGAAGGAGGTGGAATATATGTCCCACAAGCTTCTGTTAATGAAGTTCTTACAGTACTGGTTCGTCTACAGGTCTTGAAGTAGCAAAAATATGATTAAAAAATATTACATGCTCTCCAGATATATGTTTTGACTAAATTGTTAACAAAAACTAAGGGAGATAATACTTTCACACTAGAATATGAGTTTGTATGGTACATCGACAAGATTTTTAGTTTGTAATGGTATTTGCGTGCACTCCTAATAAGTGATCGAGGTGATGTTTAAGCAAATTTCCCTTTGTATACACTGAAATGTAAAGGTTTGGATAAAAAATAGGAGAGTGCTAGTGATATTATTAAAGTACCCAAAAAAAAAAACTCTTTAAGTTTTGAACTTGAAATGGCATAATAGTTGTTTATCATCTTTGGTTGACAGATTTAATCTTCCTAATATTACTTTTTCTTAATAATATAGAATAAATAAGTTTTTTCTTTCAAATTCTTTAGATGAAGCTCACACTATATGTGTGAGGATTTAAGGTGTTCGTGTGAGAGAAGGTTTTTTTCCCTAAAAACGTGGGATGAACATTTTAAATTTTTAAAGAGGTGCAAACACGGATTCTGGATTAGGGTTTTTTTTTTCCACGGTTTGTGCATGTACCTAAATCCATATCATGAATTCCAATGATTGTACACACAGTATGAGTAAATGAAAGATTTGGAAGTCTGATTGTGTTTGTCATATTCGTGTCGTTTTCGTGTTATATTAGTTATCTTAACGAATCGTGTCATGTCAAACTCATTACCTTAACGGGTTCTTAATAGGTGACTTGTTATTTTTGTGTCATTTCGTTTTCTGGTTATAAGTTGTGTAAGAAATTGACAGGCTTGTTAATACACAATAATTTTTTGTCGGAAAATCAGACGGTAAAAATTTCATATATAGCCACTTGAGCTGCATGCCTTTTACATGTTTTAATTTATTGATGTACATATAGTATTCTTCATAAAAAAAAAAAAATTCGAGGTGTTTGATAACCATTTCATTTCTATTTTTTTCCCTTTATATCACAAAGTTGTGATCTCTCTTTGATTTGATAATAAAATGCGGATGCTATGATAAAAAAAAATTAAAAAAAAGGCTACTTTCTTGAGTTTTCCAAATTTGACTTGGCTTTTGTATTTAAAACAGTAACCAAACAAATTTTTAGTATTCAATGTTTCAAACAATGGAAACAAAACACTGAAATGATTATCAAACAGGCTCTTAGTGATGATTGTTTTGGTTTTGAATCAATATAAATTAACTTTTGAACTGAAATATATATAGATTCTTTAAATTCAGGGGTGGTGCTATCCACACATTCTTTTTACCTTTCAACCATATTCTATTAATGTCTATCATTTGATTCTCTTTAATTTATTCAATCTGACGTTGGAATCAAGAGAGGTTTGTAGAAGGTAAAAAAAGGTGTAAATTTGCTACCACCCTAAATTTAAATTGTTTTTACGCTTTCTTGTCCTCTTCCTTCTCTAAATTAAAAAAAAATAAACGTAGAAAGCCATGAAAGAAGAAGTGGTAATAATTTGTTTTCTTTGTTTCTTGTTTTGCAGGGTAACTTTGTTCCAGACATTATTTCTAAAGGGGATCCAATTTACTTCACCAGCAATGGCAGCAGCCATGCCAAACCTTGCTCCTGGGTTTATTTTCATCATCGCCTGTACTGTTAGGTATTTAACCTTACATCATTTTTCTTTCTTTTTTTTTCCAAAGTAAATGTAATGGTAAGAAGAAGATGAAGACAAAGAAGTGGCAAACTAATCGAATAGTTAACATAACATGCGGATAACCATTTGGTCTGATTAATGACATTTAGTCTCGTGTTTGTTGGAAAATCGTAATGCAAATCTCATGTACGGAAAATTGTTGAATTAAAAATAGATACTAACATAATTTACAATGGTTATGCAGATTGGAGAGAGTAAAAATTAGTTGCATATACAGCAAAATGAAGATTCTAGGCACAATTCTGTGTGTAGTAGGAGCTATCACACTGAGCGTAATGCAAAGCGCCAGTCCTACCAAAACAGAAGCAGGGCCCCAAGTTCGACCTAGTTCTCCTGAATTTCTCTTTGATAAGCAAAAGATTATTGGTCGCTTGTATCTCCTTGCTGCTGTGTTTGTTTTGTCCAGCAATACTGTCTTGCAGGTGAACATTTAACTAGGTTGAAAATAACTGTTAACGTTGATTGTGGTCAGACTGTAAATCTGAATCATTGATATGGTTGGTTTTTTAAAATGTGTAGTACAGATTTACAGACCTACAACATAAACACTTGTCTAGGAAAAGAAGATTGTCCTTGCGTAATATACTATATTTTGTTATTTATTTGTACTTTTTGTGATGTTTGACAGGCTACAACCTTGGGTGATTTTCCTGCACCTATGTCCCTGTGCGTCATAACATCATTGATAGGAGTGTTTCTAACTGCAGCGGTACAATATGTTCAAGACCACAAAATAGAAACTGGCTGGCCACTTGTGAGTGCAAGACAATTGATTGGCTTCTCTCTACTGGTGAGTACGCTTCTCTTGTGTCTTTTTTGAAACTTTCATATGCATTGAACGTATAATAAGTCGTAATCCTAATCACTTTCTCCACCTATCATCACTCCGGCTAGTCCTAAGGGCTTAGTATATATGACTGCAGTCTTTAACACCGCTTTTTTAATCAAATCTTCACAGGGAGGTGCAGTGAGCGGAGCATGTGTGAGCTTCAACGGATGGGCAATTAAGAAAAAGGGCCGGTTTTGGTTTCCATGTTTAGCCCTATTGGAACAGTCTTCTCAGTTGTTCTCTCAGTTGTAACATTGGGAGATGCCATTAGTGTTGGAAGGTACTTTAATTATCTACTACTTAAGTACATTTTCCCTCGTGATCTTTTTCGAAATTTGTGTGTTAATTTGTTGCTTTGGTCTTGAATAATGCAGCTTTGCTGGTATGTGCCTCATGTTTACTGGGCTCTACTTCTTCCTATGGGCAAAGGGGAAGGAAGGCTACTTAGATGTGGTTGACTTAGAAAGTGAGTTTGATGCAGAGAAGCCTCTATTAAGTTGATATCATTGTTTGTGTATAGGTTTTTGTTTCAGTTTTAGACAGATAAAGATAAAATAAAATTTGAAGGAATCGTTCTAGGGGCTATAGACTAATCAGCCGTAAGGAATGTGCATGATTTTCACGCATAGTACTAGTGTTAATGTGACGATACAATTCGTATACTGAAAAATTCAGTACATATGTTATAAATTAGCTTAATAATGCTCGACATTAATCAGCAAGAGTTCCTGCATTTTTAACTGTGTTTTTGCAGAATGATGAAGGGGCAACAAATACCATTTGGAATATTTGACTTTATAGAGATGGTGCTTGAGAAGAGTATGGATACGGGCAACTGAGACATTTCAAATCTAGGGCTTTCTTTTCTTATATATTTGGGAAAGCTACACAGAAAATATCTAACCTACAAGTTGAGCAAAAAAAAAGACTCATTCGGCAGGCATTCTTTCAGGAGTTAATAATTAAACACTTAAGACCACACTGTTACATCATTTTTGAGTCACTGGGTTGGGGTTTTTAGATGTAGTAAAACGTTATTATATACAAAATCAAGTCGAGGCTGCTATGGAGCTAGCATTGTATATGGTATTGTACAAACAAATCACAATGCATATTAACTACAATATTTTTTTTATATATATAATAATTTTTATGTGCTTTCGTTCTTTAAAGAACTTTCTAGAACACGCAACGTGACAAATACGATCAATTATGGTTAATATGCATTACGTGACAAATATGATCAAAGTGAGAATTAAAGTAGGAAAATAATAGACTCGCACTTCTTTTAGCTTCTCACACAATCCTGTTGAATCTTGTCTGTTGATTTTATTTGATTAATTCAATTCGATGATTAGAAAATAAGCAGAGCGTGTGAGAAGGAGTGAGTGAAAATCACCTCCCAATTATGAAATGAGTACTGAATTATTTTAGGCATAACACTAGTAGAAAAACCATTTGCACGACCAAACTTTATGCGACGACATAAAAATCGTCAGACAAAGGTAACATTCCGTCGCTCAAATCCGTCGAAAATAATTTAACGGGAGAAACACCATGAGCGACACCATGTTTCGTCACACAAAAGTAGCTTAAGCGACAAAAAAACATGTTGTCGCGCAAAGGTTCACAAAAAAATGCGTGAATGCCTGTATTTTTGGCTCCAAAAAAGCACGACTAATTTTTTGTCATGCAAAGGTTCTGTTAGTTGTGTGGTCAAAATGTTGAATGCGGTATTTACTCCATGGTTTTGCGCGACGAAGGTTTCGTCGTGCAAAGTAGTCTGAATTCCTTTAAATAGCCAGTTTTGCTCTTTCTCTTCATAATTCAATCCGAAAACTCTTTACTTTCACCGAACTATTATTCAAAATTTTGTTTGTTTTTCCGTACGCGATGGGGGACTCTGGTGGTCCTTCGTCAAAGAGAGTTCAGGGCGAAGGTTCTAAGAAAGGTTATACATACTAAATTTTGTTGTTTGTTTAATTAATTAAATATTTAAGTAGACTAATATAAGTTTTTATTTTGTTGGTAGACAAGAAAAAGAAGAGAGATGTGACATGCGTTTGATACACTTCTTCAGCTAAGAGCCACCACTGAATCACTTACACATAATTAGTATGATATCAAAAGTCAGATATGGTGAACAAGTTTAGGGGCGACGTCGGGGTATTGGTGCATAACAGATGCAGAGTGAATTGGGAGTCTTGGAGAGACATTCTCGAGGAGATAAAGACAGTCATGATAGATGCATTAGCAGTGTGTGTAAATTATTAATTAGTTAAATAAAAATTTAGTTCTTTAGATAAAATATAATAGTGATATGTGTAATTTATTTATTTTTGCATATCAGCCTGAATGAGACATCGACAAAAGTGATGCAAATCTGATAAATTGCATTGACGTCGTGTTCAAGTATCATTTTCGGGAGTTGAAGTTTGATGTTGAACGTGATGCAAAGCGGCAAAGAGTGGCTGGACTAGCAGACTATTAGAATAATTTTTTTATTAGTCTATTTATGGTTTATTAAATAATGACACTGAATTATTATTAGTTTGGAAAAATAAATTTATATGGACTGTATTTATTTTGTTTTGTTCCAAGAACAGATTTCCAAAATATTATAATATTGACATTATTTTGTTGAGAAACTGTTTTCGAGATGGAATAAAATAAATATTTTCAGTTAATCGTGCAAGGCTTTATGCGACAAAACTTTTGTCGCTAAAACCTTTGCGGGATGAGATTTCGCCACGCAAAAACACTGTGAAACAGTCGGTTAACATTTAAGGCGTCGTATTTACTGCATATTAAGACTTAATTACGCGACAAAATTTTGGTCACGCATAACATTGAGGGACTAGACTTCGTCGTGCAAAGCAATGGTCGGTGGCGTTGAAATCATGGCATTTATTTCGTACTTTGCGCGACGAAGGTTTCGTCGCTCAAAGGTTATGCGTGACAAATGATTCGTCACATAAAGTGTTACGTGTTCTTTATATGCACATATTGTTTTGTAGTTTTCTTCATATTATTTTGTACATTAGATGGCCGATAATAGGGATAGTAGGAAAGTGACGGTCCAAGATCGAATGGTGGAAAGAAATAGCATACCCGTTGGGCCCCATAATATGACGCAATATGTGGAGTTCGCACATTCGATTCATTTAGCAATGCAGAACACTTGTCTTACTGCTGAGTGGCGCTCTTGGAAATTTGTGCCCGAGGACGTGAAGAAGACGGTGATGGATCAACTATTAGTTAGTGTGACAAATGTTGAAAATAATTAATTTTGTGAAATATTTTTTTTTATATGTTGTAAATAATTATTTGAATATATGTGTAATAGTGTAACTATACTCTTGATGATACGAACAAAGAGTTGATGAAGTTGATGGAAAAGGGGTTATAAGCAGTGGCGTTATGACGTGGAGTGGAATGGAGGACCAGTGAATTCGTGCGATGGAACATCGGAGGATAGAGGCCACCCAAACTCTAGGGTTCCAGTGGGTTAAGTGAAATTGGGACTTTTTCTTGCCAAATTTGACTTGGCCAAGGGTATAAAACTTGCTCTACTCATTGAGATCTTTCGTTCTATGAAATTTGAGAATTTTTAGAAATAGTTGATATTTTCCGACGAGTCGAGGCGGCCGACCGCCATCCGCGGCGGTGCGTGGCCAGGGGGCCACCATTGCGATTTGATGCATATTTTGTTATTCTAATTTATGTATTTGGAATACAATTGAAGTGCTTTGATAACTTAACACTAATGTGGAACACTTCTATTAATTGAATATTTTCAAAAATGATTTGAAATTTAAATGTGAACTACGAATAGCTTGATCCCTTCATAGGGTATGTAGGCAGTCTAACGAGATGGTTAGATGCAGCAATAATAGGATTGAATTTAATTTATGGTGGTTAAGAGTAGATTTATTAACCATGAATTATTTGGGCCTTTCTTAGTAATTGGCTTCCGAAGTAAAATTTTCAAGACGTTACAATATGATATTCTGGACCGAGATCCTGACGACAATAACGATGACAACAACTTTGTTGACTAACTCCTCGAAACTTTGACACAAATTGGTGCAGGAACACTTTGGGATACTAATATTGTCCAAGAATCATTTCAGGTAGTGGGAGGTCCTCAAATCGAAATTCCTATAGACTCAATTACAACTGATCTTGGAAATCTCCCAAGACAATCCACCTGAGGGTGCGGATGATGTCGTTGATGTACCAATTGATAAGGATGAATAGGAGACTGAAAGTGATCAAAGTGAAGATAGTGATATTTATTGTAGCGAGGATGAGGATTAATGACTTTTGACTTATATGCAATGCAATTAAGTGTATTTAATTTTTTTGTATATAAAAAAAAATTTAATTTATTAAATTTGTAATTGGATAAGGGATTAAAAAAAAACAAATTAAAGTCAATTCAAAGAGACAAATACTAGAAAGTCATGCACATAACGTAATAGCGCGACGAAAACAAGAAAATTCTTTGCTCAAGATAGAATTGCGTGACACAAGGGACGCATTCGTCGCATTTGGTGGTTTGCACGTTGCAACAAGTTCAGTTTGTCATGCAAGGTATTCAAAATTTGTCAAAATCAAAATATGGGCGCCTTTTTTTTTAAATGTTCATTAAACATTGGGTGATGAATGAGGGTGAATCGTCGTGCAATATCGTATTGCACAACAAATTGGATAACTTCGTCGCTACAGGTCCTTCAAAATTTCCAAATTAAAATGTTGGTGCCTTTTTTTTTAAATGTTCATTAAATATCGCGCTTTTTACTCTTTGTAATTTTTAAATTTATAATTCTTATTCATTTTAAATAAATGTTATATAAATATTAATTAACTTTCTTTTATAATTATAGGCTACTATGATAAAGAGGAGCCAGGCTGTCCTTAAGAAAGTGGCTTCCTAACTTCCCCCTGACACCCTAATGGAGAAGGTGGGCCCCTCGAGGATGCGGGTCATCTTATCATGATAGACACTAGGGGTGGGTTGGAAAAACTGAAAACCAAAAAAAAAAAAAAGGACCAAAAACCAAACCGAGGTCGAAAAAATCAAACCGAATCTATTAAACCGAACCGAATTGAATCTGGTTGGGTCGATTTCAGTTTCTGGGGTTTGAATACTGAACTGAAGTTCTTCAAAACGACATTGATTTGTAATTATTTTATTAATTAATAATCCTATTCTAGAAATGGCGTCGTTCTTCCCCAACTGTAACCCTAAAGCCTCCACGTATTTATCTCTCCCATTTTTCCAGTTTGCATAGCCAAAGCCTACTCTCTCTCAATCTTCAATCACTCTCTCAAACTCTCTGTCACTCATTCCTAGCGGCAACCCGCGACCTGCGACCCTTCTCACTCTTTATTTCTCACACCTTGCGGTCAACTTCTATTTGCCGTTTCGAGTCTCGACAGCAAAAGGTTAGTCTCACACTCTCACTTCTCTATGTTTAATTTTTTTTTGTTCTATTTTTTTGTTCAAATTGGTTCTGATTGGACAAATAGTAGCCTTTACAGATTTTCAATAATTAATTTGCATTTTTTGTCGATAAAGATTAGAAAAAGATTCATACTTTGTATTTTCTATTAATCTGCGTTTCTTTCTGCAACAATATATTATATGTGTAGTGTGGTCATGAAAATTTGAGTTATTTCAATAGATTGTAATTTTAGATTTTTCTAGGAGGGTTTT